GTTCCTGAAACCTGGGTAAGGTTTCAGGACCCGACTGGTTCTTAGATAGTGTGGCACGTAAACTCCTTATCCAGGTTTCTGATCAGTGTGGGTGGTAGTGCAGGTGCATCTTCAACTCAATTTGCTTGGTAGTTAAATTAAATTAAATATGATACATGATATAATCATATTGAAAAGAAATTGGACCAATTAATAAATGAATGACAGAAATTGGGCAAGAATAATGTATAGAAACATAAATAACCAGGCTTCTCATGTTCTATGTAAACATAATATTTTAATACAATCCAAATCATTCAGCAATTCAGCTCTTTTTCTGTGAACCCAACATTCAGCTCAAACATTATTCCAATGTTCCATTCAGCCATTATTTCCACATTCCTTCTAGCATTCATTCAGCCTAAATCACATCTGCAAGACTGAACTCTATCTACAATCCCCCCCTTTCTTGTCATTTATCTCTTCATCCATCTGCCCACTTCTATCCTCAGTTATCCTTCCTCTTTTGCCATCACCACTGAAACAACACTCATCCATCTCTCTGTCTCTCTGCCCTCACACCCTGTGGTGAGAAATCTTCAATTTATCTTGTGTCCCCTTGTTTTGCCATCACTTCTCCTCTCTGTAACCCTTCTATATATCCTTCCATCTATCTACCCATAGATGTACTCCCCTCCTCCCCCATTCTCTCTCTTCAGTCTGACAGTGCTGCAGGCTATCACCAATTATCTCAGCTAAAGTTGTGCCTACATCTATACATCTCACACAACCCCATACAGTATCTTTAGATCTCATCTGACACAATGTGGCATAACAAGACTGGATATCCACACGGTTTGTATGTAAATACATTCACTTTATATGCATCTTTCACTCTTGCTGATACTTAAACTATGGAAATATTGCATGCTCACTGCAATCCTATGCAGGGACTAAATAGCAAAAAAAAAGACAAATAAAATGATCAAATGCAGAGGCTGTATGATAGGTGTAAAAAGCAATTAATAACACAAATCCAACCATGCATTCTCATACAGATGTTACAGTGCAGTAACAATATTTTATCCAGTGTATTTAGCCACATTGAAAACCCCTCACTCTGGTGGTGTAAGTGGTTGAATTTTTTCTGTAAATACAGATGTACTTTTGAGAGAGATGTATGTGCGTGTGAGGGAGGGTGAAAAAAGAGTTGGATTGTTGACGGAGAAAGATGGACAGATCTTTAAAGCAGGGAGGTAGAGGGAAGTGGAGTGAGAGGCAATGGCAAGAGTGTAAAAGGCAGGAGAGGGCTAATGTAGGTGGCAGCAATAGCGAGGAAGAGAAAGAGGGAGGGATGGAGAAGCAATGAATGATAGGCAGTCACAGAAAGATATGGTGAGAGACAGAAAAAAGTTAAAAAAAAGAAAGAAACACTAGAGTGAGAAATATGGGGAAATGAGAAATTGAGGTACAGACAGAAAGCAAAGGCATAAGACAGGAAGAACTAGGGATGTAAGAAGGAGCAACAAAAAGAGAGGAAGAAAAAGACAAAGAGGAGAAAGAGCTGCCCATAACGAGTTCTGTCCTACATTCACAAAGGCTGTGTTAAATCATGCTCTACTAGGCAGCACACACAGCCAATACAGCCGAGGTCCACACACACTTACACATTTTCTCTCACATAAACACCTGCAAACCACTGACATAAAATTTGGTTATGAACAATGCTGCATGTTTTTTTTAAAACAGCTTTAGCCTTTTTGAAAACACACTGACATTCACGGAGAGGGCAAAATGGGCATAATAGAGTGGAAATTGAACCACTACACAAGTGAAGGTTCTCAAATCCAGATCGGCAGATGTTCAGAACCTCCACATCTGAAAGGCAACCAGGAAACCAAAAAAAGACTTGATGCGAGTGACTGAAATGCACATGAAAAACTGTTTGGTAAAGCAGTGAACACATATGGTAACAAAGCTGAGAGAGAGGAAGCCCTGCCATGTTTCTCTCTGTAGACCATTTCAAAAGGCTGTCAGTCTCATCTGCATATGAAACTGTAAGAAAAAGACCTTGTAGCTTCATCAATTACTGGGAGTGCCTTCTACTCTGACAACTTACTGTTAAGTTTGTTTACATATTTTTTTTGTATATATGGACCATGATTAAAAAAAATCTATTTTACTCTGAGCACCAATGGTGTTTTTATTTTAAAACGTTTAATCAATGGAAAATATTTGCATATCACACAAATTCATCTTCCTGGAAAGCAAAACACTGAAACTTATTATAAAATAGAAACCAGTGAATCCTTCTGCAACATTAAAACTTTGTTCTGTTGCGACAGGACAGTGAAAACAGGCCATGAGGCACACTGTGGAAAAACACGGTGGCAGGGTCAGATTGTATCACAGTGTCATCAAAATAACACCCTCACACCCAGAGTACAGAGGGAATGCCGCTTTTTGGCTGGCTCTTTTAAGCTCAGTACACCATCCATTTTGCTTTTTGTTTCAGCTGTAATATAACACATAGATTTCAAAAAGAAAACACAATATTAGTCTTGCAAACTATGCATTTTTCCTTTCCCTGTGTAAAATTAAGACTGCATAAAGTGCTACTAAATTTCTAAAACTGAATGACAGTGTACATAAACAGAGGTATTGCACATGAAGCAGGCATGCTGTTGGAGCAATGCAGCTGATGAAGTTCCTTTTACTTCAAAGAATCATATTGTTAAGAATAACAGGACTACTGAGAGCTCTGTGAGGCTGAACTACATGACAATGTCAGCATGCTCAAGTTTCAAAATGACAATAATACCACACTGAGTACATCAAGTTTAGCATAACAGACTGCTAATATTTGCTAATTAGCAGTAAACACATACAGTACAGTTAGGCTAATGGGATTCTCATCAGTAGGGCTGTAACTAACGATGTTCTTCATTATCGATTAATCTGTCAATCTTTTTCTCCATGAACCAATTAGTTGTTTGGGTCTTAAAAAGTCAGAAAATGTTGATCACCGTTTCCCAAAGCCCAAAGGTGACATCCCGAAACATCTATGTTGGTCTAAAACCCTAAGATATTCAGTTTACTGTAAGAGGGCTAAATAAACCATTTAAGAAATCTAAGAATTTGGAAATTATTTCCTAAAATAAAATTCCTCAAAGGGGTTAATTGATTATCAAAAGTGATAATGCCAAGTGACCGTTGGTCTGTCAGTCGGTATCCCTTGAGCAACAGTGTAAGCATGTTAAAAACTGGAGAAAACAAGACTGCCATCTACAGTATTTTGTGTACCATATGGATTAGCATGACAACAGCTAAAGCTAGTCAAACTAAGAGAAACCTGCACACTGCTAATAATGCGTTAAGATACAAGTCCAAGGGCCCAAGATTAGAAAAAACTTTTTCTACCTCCAAAATATACATGCATTTTAATTTTTCAATGAAAATACTGTTAATGTAGAGTTAAATGAATTATCTGTGTAGTTCACATATTTTAATTATTCCATATACGCTTCTTTTGATTACAGTATTCATGGATTAGGAATCCTTTTCTAAACTTCATAAAGTTAGTTGATGTGTTTTAATACACATGACTGCCGCCTGTCATTAAACTGCACTGATATACACGGTACAGAATGAGCTCTCATGTATTACTGCTGAACACCAGAACGATTTTTTTAGCCTCGTCAGCCACAGATCTGTAACAGTCTGTGTGACTGCACAGTCTGTGGCAGTATGACTCCAGGCAGGCCAGTGGCATACTGACAGCTATTTCCTAATGATCTCCCCACAGAGACTCCATGTCTGACAAAGTTAAGCTAGAGATGGTGCACACTTTGTTACACAGCTACTAAGTTCTAACATTTGATTATAATGAACTGATTGTAGTGAAGAGATGTCCTGGTTTTAAAAGGCCAGGATTTACTGTTGGATCTTCTGGAGGCATTGTGTGATGAATTCAATAGAAAACCACATATGTGAAGTGCTCCTTGAAACCACTGCTGCCATGCACATCAACCAACCACCCTCCTTTTCCATTCAAGTCAGTGACCATTGTATGCAATCATACAAGCTTCGTGGCAGAGGAATAATATAGTATATCTGGTGTGTTAGCCCATACACACTTACTCATAAATATGTGCAGTTGCAAAAAGCAAAACAGTAGATCTCTAAGAGTTGTCTGTTTGCAGCTGAGCATTTGAGAGCAATCTTTTAGTTCATCGCTTGAGACTGATATTTGATCAGAAGGGTATTGTGTGAAGAGATGAAACACTCAAGAGCTACCAAATAATCATATATTTGAAATGGCTGTACCACCCAGCTTCATGCCGCTATAAAGATCTCTGGAATTCTTATGAAATTTCGCCATGCCACTCAGAGCTGTTCTAGGTTGCACAAGTAGAGTCTAGTGTGCAAGTCTGAAAATTGAGTAATTTAAAGACAGCACAGAGGAAGATTGGAGAGGAGTGAAGGAGAGAAAAATAGAGAGGCCCCAGGTGCCCGTGGAAATGGCAGTTAAGGTCGGCGGTGGGAATGTTTGGGCTCGAGTCAGAGCAGAACAGCGGCTGTATGAGAGCAGCAAAGTGCTGCGGGGCTCGGGGGAATACCCTCCACTATGCTTGGGAGAAACAGACACACACACACATACACAACACACACACAGAAAGAAACATTCTTAGTAAAAGAATAAACAGATCCGTGCACACAATACTAAAAACAAACATGCGCATGGACATAAAAATAGACAAACAGGGTGAAGAAACCAACCAAAGGAAACACACAGGCAAGTGTGCTCACAAACCAAAAAGACTTAAAATTTGAAATGTTTTAAAAACTAAAAAGCAGCAAATTCTCACAACTACATAAAATTAGTGAGGCACTTTTGCCTGATAAATGAGTGACATGACTAACTAATTACCAAAATAATTGCAGACTAATTCTTCATTGATGCATTAATTAATCAACTAATTGTTTAAGCCCTACTCCACAAAAATACTTTCCCTTCTTACCTTGACAGGATCCGTTGATTTCCTCAAATCCTGTCTGGCACACACACTTGCCAATGGGCACCAGCCATTCTCCCTCCGTGCTGCAATGCATCCTGGGAGGCTCATACAGAGGCAGGGAGTTATTGACGCAGCGGCCCACTACCTCCACCAGCTGCGAGGCCTCTGAGCCCGGGATGGTGTCGGCGAACTCGGCCAAACTCTTGACCAGAAACGGGCAGCGTTTGTAGAAAACACGCACTGAAACTAAAGCAATACAGGCCCCCAAATCCTGGAATGCCAGGTAGAAGCCCTTCCGGGTCAAGGGACCTAAATCGCGGACTTCAGTGTTGAGCTTCATCACGCGGTCCCCCAGATCCAGCTCGGTGAAGCTCTCATCAGCTGCTATGGTGTCGATTTTGATGTATCTGCTCTCCTTCATTGCCCTGTCTTCTTCCTCCGTCATCCCCGTTCCATCTCTCATCTCTCCTTCCTCCATTTCGTCGTCGTCCCCGTTAGTTTCGTAGTAATACATGTTAAACGTCTCCTTGCAGGTCCCGACTCCCCCAGGCAGGCTATTGCAGTCTCTTAGGGTGAACTTGAGCTCGATGAAGACCCGCTGGGCTCCCTCAGTCAGGATCCAGTTGGTGTGGAGCCAGTTGTTCTGGTTCTGCTCCATGACGCGGCACACTTGGTAAGTGTGGATTGGAGCGTAGTCCTCGTCTACCTCCCCGATCTCCTCCCACTGACAGAGAGAAAAGAGGGAGAATAATGAAGAGAGAACACACCAAGAGGGGAAGATACAGCAAAACAGAACCACTTAGTTTTGATCAGGAAAGTATCTTTGGGTATCAAACTTCATTACTGTTTTGACATTAACTTACAGAGGCGGAAGAAGTATTTAGTTCCCTTACTTAAGTAAAAGTACTAATACAACATAAAAATACTGTGCTACAAGTAAGATTACTTACAAGTACTTGTTCTACAGAAAAGGTAGTGGAGAACAAAGTACAATATTTCCCTCCAGAATGTGGTGGAGTGGAGGAATAAAGTAGTATGAGCACCTCAAAATTGTGATGAGAGAATGAATTTCATATGTAACTGGTCGTTTCAGTTTCAGTGTTTTATTCATAAAAAGTTCTTTTAGAGCCTGGTGGACAACATCTAACATTTGAGCTCCTGTCATTAATTAATCATTGGGTACTTGGAAGAGGGACCATATCAGACCTATTCTGGTTAAGTAAAAGTAAAGTTAAGAATTGATTTTAAGGTTCTCCTATTTGTTTATAAATCCCTTAATGTGCTGCCCCACTCCTATATTGCAGACCTTCTAACCCCTTATTCTACAGTCCAGGTTCCCTTCAAGGTTTCAGCTGGACCTTTAGGCTCCTAGCTGGTCCCACGGATTCTAAAACTTAAGCTCATGAGGGGTGGAGGGCGGGTTGGCCTTTGGCTGTGTGCTGGAGTCCCCCCCCCCCCACTCTGATCAGATCTGCGCCCTTCATTTTAAATCCAGGATCAAAAAGTACTTTCATTCTGTAGCGTTTGATTGCTCCTGATGTGGCTGATTTCTTGTCTGGTTCTATGTGTTGTATATCAGTACCTATGAGCTGTGTGCATTGATTTTTATGTCTGCGTTTCTTTTTATCCCCGTTTCTCTTAATTGGGATTTTCTCTAACTGCTCTGGTCTGTACAGAACTTTGGTCAACAAGGGTTGTTTTTAAATGCGTTTTATGAATAACTTTGATAGTACTTCTCAATGTAATGATTAGAAAAAGTACAGTTGTAGCAATGCCAAAACTGGTATCATATCTATGCTATTACTGGAAAATCTCAAATAATACCCAGATGTACAGAGACTTGACAACCATGGAAATGTAAAATAGTAAGAATGAGCTACAGCAATGCCTTTTTGAAAGGCTTACCAGTGGCGAGGAAATTATGAGAGGGTGTGTGCATGTGTCTGTGTGTGTGCGTGTGTGTGTGTATGCATGTGTGTGTGGCTAGGTATAGATAGCAGAATAATCCTCATCCCTTCCACCTCATTTCCTCCCATTGCCACAGACAGAAAAGAATGAGATAGTGTTATAGGGTATATATGCATTTACCCTCAATGAGGGGTGGAGTTATTGTCAGCGGAAAAAAGAATTAACGTGCACTTAAAAGGTGTGCTCGTCTGTGCATACTCTATAGTGACACTTCTATAATGTGTACCGGTATGTGTATGTGTGTGTCCATTCCTGCCTGTGTGTGTGTGCATATATGTAAATTAGTCAGTCAGTATTCAAGCTTGTGTGTGAGCATCTGCATCCATGCCTGTGTGTGTGTGTGTGTGTGTATGTGTCAGACAGCAGCATTAATTCCGTCTGCAGGTCTCCTGGGACGTGGCTATTATCTGCATCACTAGCACTCTCCCATGGCTAATACAGGCGCTTCATCATGTCACCGTAATATGGCCAGAGGGACCAGACTATGATCTGGTGTTATAGCTTAATAGCCCATATTAATCAATCCTTGCTGTAGCCGTTGTGTACTACCTCCTGTCTTTGTCTTTTCTCTCTCTTGTTCTCCATCTGTCTTTTTCACTCCTCCTTGCTTTAGCCTGCCTCTTTTATTTTCTGGTTATTATCATTCAGTTTCTGATCCTTTTGGGAATGAATTAAGGCATTGTTGAGTGCTATTAGATATTACGTGTGTTGCTAAATGCACCTGCTTCTGTGTTCATATTTTTATAGTGTAATATGTTGCATGCTTGTACTTCTATCTTGGAGCAGAGCAACATTTCTAAGTTTTAGATCTTGAAAGTGACCTTTTTAACCGACCTCAGTTCTTCAAAAGGGCTGTTTTGAAGAAGTTGACAATTAGTTGAGGAGTTAAGGTTAGACATAGCTTAGGTTAGGGTTATAGTAAAAGCATCATCTTAACAAGGGTCTTTACAAGCAGCATAGATGCACAGACGAATATGTGTGTGCTTGTGTGTGACTGAGTCAGTCCCTATCTCTCCCAGACTCCAACCCAGTCAGTCCCAGTGCAGACATTAAGCCTCTTACTGGTTAGATCACACAGATCCACCAGCCTGTTCTGAGCTTTACACAGCTTAACATCAGACACACACATCAGCAGGCACACCGACCAGCACACACACACCAGTGACACACATGAGCACACACTGCGACATGCATCGCAGCCAGGCATCACGCACACAGGGTACCCACAGGGCGTCACGGACATCATTCACGACACAAATCATTATTGGTAGCCCAGCAGGAAGTTTAACAGACGACCTTCTCTAGTTTTGCCTGCAACCAAATGGATTCAGTATTTGTGTACAAGGCGTGGTTGCCGGTGTTGCCACTGGAACTCCTCCAACTCTGCAGCTCTACTGTATTAATAGTGTTTGATGACTAAAGTAAATGGGACATGACACTTGCTTAAGCTAAACTGAGTCATCAAACAATGATTTAAAATGAGCCATTTGCAAGTATACCGTATGAAACGAGCACTGAAACACACACACTTCGATTAAAGTTAGCAGGGGTTTCTTTGCTTTAAAAAGGTTCCATGAAATGATATCCTTGCCATAAATTTCCCTTTAAAACAGGATGTTGTGACTAGAAATGTTCTTTAATCTTTAAAGCCTCACTGTACATCGTATTAGGCGGGTAAGGTCCTCCAAGGTCAAGGCTTGGTGCAGAGAGCAACATACTAACACTGCGTGGTCAGGACCACCTACGTGAGTCACTGTAGAAACAAAAGCATGCACTAACAGTGTACCTTTTAAAACCTAATAACTGTTTGTATGTTAATTTTAAAGAAAGGTCTATTTTTGTCTCTTCATTTCTAAATGACTGTAAAGCAATAAACCAACTTTAAAAAAAAAAAAGTGATATTCAGTTCTCTTCAATTTAATGCAGTTCACACAACCTCTTCTTAAAGGGTCAAATTCCACGAAAAAGACATTTTTCCCCACTTACCACACGTGGTATCTAGCCATACTCTGGGATTTACCCACTAAAGTTTACAGATATCTGTTTCTGAGATTTCTGCTGTTGACTGCAAAGACTGTGAATTATCCTGAGTTAGAATCTCCTTAAGTCTAGACATTTAAAACCAAAACAATCTGCGTTTTTGCTGCGATTTGGGTGAATTGACGCATTCATGTGAACAATGGAAAAGCCAACAGATTGAGTTCTTAATTTCCTGTGGCCCTAACCTCTCTTTCACCTCTGCATGGTCTCTTCTCCACTTTGCTCCCTATACCAAACTGTCCCTATAGGCATCCTCCTAGCTTATCATTAGTGTGTGTATGTGTATTTATTTAGTTGACTATGTGTGCGTGTGTGTGTGTGTGTCTGTGTGCCACATCCATCAGTAGACCCCCTGTGGCTGTGCTGAGTGCCCTCCTGGCTCTAAGTCTATAAAGCTGTCTCCAACTTATTATTACCGCCCATTACCGCTGAACGTCACGACACCGTAATAGAACTGTCCCTCTCACTCCTTAACCATACAAGAACCCCCGCCCCCCTCTTACCCTCCCATTCCTGCCTCCATCTCATTCTCTCCAACATCCCTCTACTTGTGCCTTACTCCTCTGCCCGTCATTCTGTCTATCATAATTTTCCCTCTGTGTCCTCTATTCTTCCTTTAATTATCCAATCTTAAGTCTAACCCAGAAACACTGTTTGGCCGCTTCTCCCCTTCTCCACCCCCCC